AAAAAGAGATAAGAAAGATGATTTGACTGCTTTTCCGTTACCTCTAGATGGATAAAACTTATCCGTTAAGGGAAAAAATTTAAACTCTTCTTTATCTTCTCTTTTTAATTTTTACTTTAAGTCATCCCTTTAATATTCTTGAAATTAACTCCTATATTTTTAGGAATAACTTGGGGGAAATTGTTAGGCTCAAGATCCTCAAAGCATTTAGGATCCTCAAACCCCATTAGATATTCAGGATCCTCAACTATCTCAGGATCCCGACTATTACCGTTATTATTATTTACTAACATTTATAACTGTTGTATTTCATTCTTAACAAACCCATGTGCAGATATAGTCAAGAGAAGACTTATTCTCAAAAGAGTTTCGTCTCAACTATGCTAAATACCTAGAATACCTAGTCAATCAACGTTCACAAAGCTAGTCATAGAGGATCCTGGGAATATCAGGCATCTTATTAGCTAGTTTAGACAATAAATTGACACATGTGTACCACACACGAGACACGATTGACTCTTAGCTTACTTTACAAACTTTTTCACTTGCTCTTACTGAAATAATCTTTGTAATCGTCATTTTATATTAATAAAATCATCAAGGAAGGTGATCATTATCACCTCACAAGGTTTTATGTCGGAGATCCTAGCAAGGATCAAGGGCTTTCCTTGTAAACAATTGTGTCATTCTTTTTACCATTCTCTATTGCACAATTCGAACATCATAGCCTCTCATTCAATTTGGTTGATTTATACTTGTGTAATTTTTGACCAAAACAATAAGGATATCCAATTACTTAGATAATTATTCTATTTTAATTGTTTAAAACATTATTTAAGCTAATTATCCTAATCAATTCATGAAATAAGAAAAAAAACTGATTTTTTTGGATCTAACTATCCACCACGTCGCTCTAAGCAATTACCACAGCGTGGTCAAGCAAATTCGCAAGTCACCACATCGTGGTAGAAGAATAGAATGACGAATTTGTTTTGCTTCTCCTTATTCAAGATCAATAATTATAACAATTCAACAGAAAACAAACCTCATGCTCTTATACCATTGATGGGATATATGCAAAACAATAAACTTAAACCCTTAAGAGTGCATGAGACCCAAATAAAGATCTATGTTTTCTCTATTGAATATATAAGAATGAACAACAATTAAGAACCCTAAGATTACTAGCTTGTTTTTCAAAAATTACCAAATTAGGGTTAGGATTATTTACCTTGATTGTTATTATTGTAAATAAGAATGAACACTTTCTTCTTAATCCTTTGGAGGCATGCACCACAATTGTCATGCCTCTAATGGAATCACACCCAAGACTAGCAATTAAGGATTATGGAGAGGGATGAGGAGAATTCCAGCCATAACACTTCTAGGGTTAGGAGTGCCAAAGTTTAGAAGGCTAAGGCTCCTTATATAGATGAGTTAGCTTAGAACCAAAGCTAAGGTTTAAGGAGGAACCCCTAATCCATTTGCTTGGTAACCAAGCAGCCCATGAGCCTCCATCCAAGAGCCCTTGGACTAAAATTATAGGTCCTTCCTATATGTTTTCATCCAACCTCTTACAAGGAGGTTTTAGAGCCTTTTCCTCAACTATCAATAAATTGCCAAACAATCCCTGCACTATACATTAATCTAATTAATCCCAAAATTAAATCTAATTAATTTCTGATTGATTATTAATCAAATATCATAATTTCTAATTAATATATTATTCTCATAATATATTAACAACTTATATATTCCAATTTAATAATCAAATAATAAGTCATTCTCTCTCTACAAAATAATCATGTCTAATTGCTAGCTTTGAGGGAAACCCAAAAGGACTTGTTGCTATCAATTCAAGTGTATACCAATTATAGTTATGGACTTAAACACCTAATCCAAAGATGATCTATTATGATAGTTTGAGTTTAGGGTTGTTTATGAGCTTTATTTGGTCCCATGGGTTCTCCTTGGGAGTTTGTGCAACTCCAAGCATTGCATATGTTAGATCTCAGTCTATTTGTTACTCATGATGCATAAAAATGTCATCTTGATGGTTGATATGAGTCCATGCATGAATTTGAGTCCTTAATATGAGCTTTGATGGATAAAAATGGATGGTGGGTTCCATTAAGACATTCTAAGGGTTAAAGTTGCCAATTTTAGGTATTACAACCCTAAAATGGATAAGATCTAAAAGTTAGACTGAATGGTTGAAAGGATTAAGCACTAAATGTCTTAAGGAGGTAAGTAGCCCAGTATGATGGGCGTACCAAGAGGTAAGTTGTGTGTACTGGTGGTCAAAGTACACCAAGGGTACAATGCATATGTCGAGAGTATGCCTCGTAGTAGGCTTTTGGATATTGGTTGGGTTTAGTTAGGTGTTGGGCCTTAACCTGTTTAAGTAGGTGGGCCTCGAAATTTATTAGTGGACATCAAGATTGCATGAGTAGGACCTTTACGGGCCTTGGGTCATTAATTTGTTATTGGGCTAAGTTTGGGTAGGCCCATTATGGGAAGGGTAAAATAGACTTCTATCTTAGGAGTTGAGTTTGAGATTTAAACCCACGAATATTGTTTATAACCTAATAATGATTAGTGTTATCTATTTGTGATAGAGTGGGATCTTTCAGTTCTGCAGCCGAGCATCTAGTTATTTATTCAGAAGCTTGAGGTGAGTTTTCTCACTATATCCATGGGTCAAAGGCACCAATGTCGGCCCATTACTTATTATGTGGAATGTTAGTTGCCTCTGTGATGCTTGCATGAAAGATCAGGGTTTGGACCTAGGTAATTGTACGAAAGACTAGGATTTAGCCCCTGACAATTGTATAAAAAACCAAGATTTGGCTCCTGGAAGTTGTATGAAAGACTAGGATCTAGCCCCTAGCATCTGTACATAATACCATCATTTAGCCCTCGGCACTGCAAGGAAAGTCCAAGGGGTA